GAACCGTTTGCATAAACTTATTTGTATGAGTGTGTGGAGTTATGTATCCATTTTGCTTTGTTTGCTGTAGTACTCTGATTAAGGACCGACCAGTGTTTTAAGCAGTGTAATAGTATATGGTAGGTAGTTTAGGCTAGTGATGGAGACAGCACCTTGAAAGTTACCACCTTTTTTAAAAAAAAAAAAGGAAAAAAAAGAATGGTTTCGCATAGTACAGCTCCTTACCTAACCAGTATTGACTTTCTATTGATGATGGTTTTCTGCTTGGTTTGGTGTTAAATGACACAAGCTTTTTTTCATGGAGCTGTTACAATAATGAACACTTTTATCAGTGTAGACAGAGCATGCCCATGTGGTAATTGTGTCAAAATCACATGCTTGCCTAATGAGCTAGCTGTTCACAGCAATGTTCTTTTTGGTTGATGATGAGTAGAAAGGTTTTTACTTAGTATGTTATATAACTATACTAATGATGGATTTTCAGTATTTGTAATTAAAGATCACTGGAAGGAGCATTGCTGGGGTTTGGGAAACCTTAGTTCTGGTTTTGGCTTTGCCCATCTAGCTTTGTGATCTCAGGCAAATCTCCTAGTCTTTCTGAGCCTGTTTCCTTGTTGATAAAATGAGGGTATTAGATTAGATGATTTAACATTATTCATTCAGTAAATATTTATTGGGTGCGTCTTATGTTCAGGCTAGATGCTGGGGACATAGCAATGAATAAAATGAAGAACCCACTCCTCATGGGGCTTTAATTTTTGTGAGAGTGCTTGCATTCCAGTGCAGGAGTTTCCGTTTTAGTGGGAAATAGAGTTTAAAGGCTTATCCACATCTGAAACTCTGAGTTATAGGCACAATAATTATGGTGAGTGGATGTTCTATAATCATGTTTTCTTGATGGTGGTTATTTGTTCAAGAAAACCATTTTGTCAACAATGAAGGTAGTGTTTAGTTTTGAGCTCTGTTGTTCTCATGAAACTATTTTAAGAATATGCTTATTTACACAGAATTTTATTCACCCTTAATGTTGAATATTCACAATCCAATTAGCCTTTTCTGTTGTTTTCTGTCTTGTAACTTCCATTTGAATGGACAACACTAACTTGACGATCAGCTCTGAGGTTCTTAAAACTTAAAAAGTGTTGTCAGTACAGTGGTGATCAACGAGGAGTACTTTGTGAACTTAACTGTTTGGTTTACCTATGTTCTTTATCTGTGTATTAGCAGCTTGTCTTCAATTCTGTTTATCAGCTCAGTTGTGATTACATGGCCAAATAATATCTTCAGATATGATTTTCTTTGTGATGGGAACTCATCTGTAAATTTCTTATTATTGGTGGGGGGCAGGGTTAATTATAGTAAATCATAAAATACATTTATGTTGTTCTGTACTCATTTTCACAGAGTGGCATGAATCTTCTTTAAGGACTAGGCAGAGGGCTAAGTGATTGATTAGATCGTTTGTACGTAATGAAGTTGTGATTGCATTGTGAAATACATGTGAGGACTTAAGAAAGGAGACGTGCACAGTTGTGTCATTTTTCTTTTGGTGACCTTGACTAGTCATTTAACTTCTGCATTTTTGTTTATTGCTTTAAAATGGGGATAATACACCCCATGTTTTGAGGTACTGAAGTTAACGTGCATGGTATCTAACACAGTAAACTGAGTTGTGGCTCTTATGATTAAAATCAAATATATATCAATGCTTTTCATATAATAGTGGAAACTTCAGTTTTATATTTCATTCCTTCTAAAATATTTTAACCAAAAAATCAGCTTTGGTTGATCAGTCCCCAGACTATTTCTTGCAGCCAAAGTAATTAAAGAACTGCCAATTATATTGGTTAACTTGGACAAGTGTGGGACATTTTTGTTATAGTTTTACCAAAGGGCATTGATTCAACTCTCAAATTGTAACTAGAGAGTACACGCTAACAATCAACTTTGGTCAATTTCATCATTAATGTAAATACTCTTCACTTAAGTGGTACATGGAAAATGGTACCTTGAAGAAGGAAAAAAGGTTTTCTGTGCAATGGAACCAATTTAAGTGTTGTTGGGTCTTATTGGTAGGACATAATTTTGAATTTTAAATGCCCCAAAATGAAAAGTAACATTAGATATGTGGGTATGATAGTTACTTAACTAGTCCCTCTTCTGTAGCATTGCCCTCAAGGACATTTTAGTCCCCTGATGTTCTCTCTACCTCGCTGTGTAATTCTTGCTCTCATACATTTTCCTCTGCCTGAACCTTAAATGTTGGTAATGAGGGCTCTCTAGGACTTTCTCTGCTCAAACTCTACACACTCTTCTTAGATATGTCAGTAGCCTTATACTTTCAGCTACCATTCATATGATGGCAGCTGCCAAATCTGTGTCTCTAGTGCATATAGTGGACCTCCATTTAAGACCTGTGTGTCTAATGACCAACTAGACATCCCCACAAACTTCTCAGTTGCATGCATCTAAATTTCGTTGTCTCAGCCACACCCACTTTTCCTCTGTTCCTATTTCCATGAATGGTTCTACCATCACCCCAGCTGTCAGGACCTGAAACTATTCCTGAACTCCTTTCTCTTTTTGACTTTCTAAGTCTAGACACCAAGTCCTGTCCATTAGATTACTGTCTACTCTTTACCATTAGATTCATTTCTTATCCTTTACCTCGCTATCTCTGCCATTGTGCAGACCATCATCTTCTCATGCCTAATTTATTGCAACAGCCTCCTGGACATTTTTCTGTTTCAGTCTTTTCTCACGTCCTGTATTTTACAGCCAGGTTGGGCTATCTGAAGTGCAAATCTGATGCATTACTCCTCTACTTAAAATGTTTATGTGATTTTCATTGCCTTTAAACCTCCAAACCCTTCTTAGTATAACACACAAAACCTTTTGTGTTCTGGTTCTGCCTACTTCTCTCACTTTATCATTACCAATCCACCTTCCTCCTTTCCTCCCATTCCCACTCACAAGCCTTCACTGCACTTGTACAGTGAATTATTGTTCAATACTTGTGGATTCCATATATGAGGAATGTTTGAATGTTTCCGCACACCTCCTCATGGCTGGCACGTGCCTCCTACCCTGACTTTTTTGCCTGAAAAATGAGTACTCAACATTTTAAAAGCAACTCAGATGTCAGCTTCTGCAGGAAGGCTTGTCTGATGACCCTCTTCTCCTAATCTTGGCTTAAGTGTCTGGTATGTGCTTTTTGAGCAACATGCTCTTAACCTCATCTGTACCCCCAGTCACTTAGCTCCTTGAAGACTGTCTTTATTCATGTGTCCAGTGGTTGGAGCATTGTAGGGGCCTATTAAATATAGTCTGGCTGACTGACTGAATGTTTTTGTGCTTACAAATAACACGTGAATAATATTTTTTCTACTTATATTTTTATTATTGAGGTATAATTCGTATACCATAAAATTCACCCTTTTAAAGTGTGTAACTCAGTGGTTTTAGTATATTCACAAGGTTGTACAATCAGTACCACTAATTTCAGAACATTTTCGTTCCCCGAAAAGAAATCCTGTTACTCCTCATTCTGCCTTCCCTCCAGTCCATGTAAGTGTTCATATATGCCAAAACATGAATGAATCTTGAGAACATTATGCTAAGTGAAAAAAACCATACTGAAAGAAATCAGGCACAAAAAGCTGTCTATTGTCTGATCCCATTTATATGAAATGTCTAGATTAGATAAATCTATAGAGGCTGAAAGTAGATTAGAGGTTGCCAGGGGCTAAGGGAATGGAAGAATGGGGGAGAGACGGCTAATATGTACAGGGCTTCTTTTTGGAATGATGAAAATGTTCTAAAATTAGAGAGTGGTGATGGTCATACAACTCTGTGAATATACTAAAAACCACTTAACTGTACATTTTAAGTTGATGAATTTTATGGTATGTGAATTATATCTCAGTAAAGACTTTTAAAAAGTATATTTTATTTTTGACCTGTTCAAGTTTGTAGCACATTTGAAGAGAACTGGGAAGTTTCCTGTTGGCCAGGGTGCCAGGACTTCGAGCACTTTTATCATTGGCAGGAAGGAGCAAGTGGGCGTGATCCACTCTTTCTGCAGTCCCTGCCCGTCGTCTTTCATGTTGTGGCTAACTGTTTCATGTTACTCCATAAAGAATTCCTCTTTGCTTGTGTAAAATTTGGACAACCATTTATTTGCAGATTTAATTTAAAGTTTGATTTCATTAGTCATGATAGGATCAATAATTAGATGTATTTTTTTCACCTGTCTTCACTTGGTTCAGGTTAGGGGGTCCCTGGATATATTTCTTATAATCACAAGAAATCATAAGAAAAGTGTTTGAGGTTGAGTAGAATGGAATTTTGAATTCCAAAATGGGAGTTTTAATTCCAGTTTGAGTACCTTTCTCAAAAGACTAACTTTGGCATTAGAATACTGATAGTGAATTACAGGATTTAACATTGGAACAAAAAATAGCACATTTTTCCCCCAGATTTAATTTTCTTGTTATTAAACACCCACTATTTAAAACGTGTTTTTATAATACTTAACATTTTTACAGATTTTGGTTTTAACGTGTGAAATTATATTATGTGTGAAAATGTGTAACATTTTTATATTACTGAATAGGGGAGACCAAATATAGAGAAAAGTAATTAGCCTTATCAAAATTGGGTTATTTTTCTATTAATTATTGTTTATAGCGAATTGAAACAAATAAAAGTAATCATTCTTCCTGTAACCCTTAGTGATTTTAAGTTCTGTCTGTACAGAATCAGAATTAATCCTATTGTGATGCTAGTTTTGGCTCTGTGATTCAGATGGAAAATTCTAAAACTTAGAGTAGCAATCTAGGCTTTCGCTTGTGCTTATGAACCTTCTTTTTCCAGGTCTGCTTTCTCTCTGTCATCTCTCTGCCATTCCCCTTCTCACCCTTCCTTTCACTGCTCCTTGCCTTCAAACTAAAATTGGAAAGTTTGTAAAATAATGTTTTGTGGTTTTGTTTTCTTTACAGAATAAGCTGTGATCATGACCACTGAAGTAGGCTCCGTGTCTGAAGTGAAAAAGGAATCTGACCAGTTAGGAGCAGATGCAACCAAGGAGAAACCTGAAGAAGTAGCAGAAAATCAGCAGAATCAATCATCCGACCCAGAGGAGGAAAAAGGTCTCCAGTCACCTCCTGCAGCTGAAAGCCAAAGTAGTCCACGCCGCCAGAAGAGAGAGAAGGATCCATCTGAGAGCAGGGGTATTTCTCGATTCATACCCCCATGGCTTAAGAAGCAAAAGTCATATAATTTAGTAGTGGCCAAAGACGGAGGGGATAAAAAAGGGCCTACCCAAGCTGTTGTGGAAGAACAGATCATAGATAAAGAGGAGTCTCTTCCAGAAGAAGAGAGGCAGGCCAAGGGTGATGCTGAAGAAACAGCTCGTAGAAAACAACAGGAGATTAAGGCTGAAGTCAAGGAAGAGCAACCTTCAGTAAGCATTGCTGAGGCACAGGTATGTTTGGAAAGTGATTGGAAATGAAAGCTTACTGGCATGACCACATAACAAAAAGGATTTGTTTTGAATTATTTCCAGATTTCTTGTATTGAAATGCTGCTTTGGCTTAATCTATCTAGAATATAGGGCTTGGATCTATCTATTCAGCCTTCTTTCGTTACTTTTTTAATTTAAATTTCCAAAGTAATAAATTAAAAAAAAAGACAATTCACTATATATGGGAACTATAAAAAATTCCTATCTATTTCTTTTAGAGTTAAGTAGATACTTTTAGAATCCTGCAATTTCTTCCTTTAAACGGAATGCCCATTGATACCTCTTTTGTTTGATTTATTGATTTCAGTGAGTAGTAAGTAGATTTGTTTGTGTGCCTGTGTGTGCATTTCGGTTGCCTAAAGAAATCTAGGTTTTGTCATAGTTTGAGATTTTAATTATAAATTTTGTTATTTGAAATGATATTTAAAATGTAGTTGCCAGGATGTAGTTTCTTTTAGTCATTTAATGTCAAAGTTTCCAAATTGGCAAAATGAGAAAATTGGCCGTGGATTGAGGGAGGGAGGATGTGGGGGGGGGTATATCCTTCTTTCAGGGCCTTTTTCTAGCAAAATTTTGAAGTCTTAAAGTCTTAGAGTGGTTATAATATACATCACGTTTCTTATTGAAGATCTTCCTTTTAATATGTTGTCTTCTGCAAATTGGTTAACATTGGTATGTTTCCGTCAATAGCCTGTTAAAGAAGAAAGTAAGGAGAGAGAAGAGGAGAAGGAGAAGGAAATTCAGGAAGAAAAACCAGAAGGAGAAGCAGCAAAAAGGGAGACAAAGGAAGTGCAGACCAATGAGCTAAAAGCAGAGAAGATCTCCCAAAAAGCCACCAAGAAGACCAAAACTGTCCAGTGTAAAGTGACCCTCCTGGATGGCACCGAATACAGCTGTGACCTGGAGGTGAGACCCAGAGCTGAGTGGAGAGCTGTCTTGATGTGTGGAATAAAAGCAACAGTATAGTCTGCTCTCACTTGTGGCATGGCACAGTGAATAGATTTTTGTGTTTTACCAAGTTCCTATAAGCTAGTTTGTTACAATTATGCATTTTAAAAAAAAAAAAGTGAAAGAGGGACATTTCTATGACAAACAATTATTTCCTGACCCTTAAGGATAAGCAGTGCCAATATTCTGCCAACTGGCACTAGTTAGGTGTACTGGTTGATGTCTGTTCTAATGAGCATTAAGTATTTTGAATGTTAACCTCTGGCCATAAGGTGTTTTACTTGAGAAAAAATATTAGCACTAGAGTAAAATTTGAGCAGTAAACTTAAACCCAAGTGTTTTATCCTGAGACAAAAAATAGTTTAAAAACGAGATCATTTATTTAATTTCATTCAATTACAAAACACCTGTGATTTGCAAAACATACTTCAGTTAGCATCGATACTGACAGAAGCCAATTGTAATTTTTTTAAGAACCCTCAGCAACTTATACTTTCGCCAATCAAAAGCTTGTTGCTTTTCAGGGCCGGAGTACTTTATTTACATGACCTATGCTAATAGCTGAGGAGCCCTGGTGGCACCAAGGTTAAAAGTGCTTGGCTGCAAACTGAAAGGTTGGTGGTTGGAACTTAACCAGCTGCTCCACAGGAGAAAGATGTGGCTGTCTGCTTCCTTAAAGATTTGCAGCCTTTGAAACCCTATGGGGCAGTTCTACTCAGTCCTATAGGGTCACTATGAGTCAGAATTTGACTTGACGGCAGTAGGTTTTGTTTTGTTTTTGGTTTATACTAATAGCTAATGTTTACTGAAAAACTGTGTGAAGACCTTTAAATGGATTCTCTCACTTAATACTTACAAGAATCCAGTATGAAATAGGTATTATTATCAGTATTCCCAGTGTTACTGTGGGGAATGTAAGGCTTTGAGGAGTTAAATTACTTGTTCAAGGTTTCATAGCTAGTGAGTAGTTGAGCAGCCCCTACAGTTTGACTGTAAAGGTCATGAACCTGGTCACTGAGCTACATTGTTTTATCTGCTACACATGGGACCTAGCTTGCTCCTGTAACATATGGTCTCTAAATAATAGTCTTTTTTTTGGTCTTCTAATCTATTAAATATTAAAAACATCTTTTCCCTAATTCCTTGCATTTTTGCTTATTAAAAATAGAAGTTACACTTTAACAACAATGTAAGTATTCAGCTTGATAAAGGCATCTTATGTCTATCTAGTTGAACAGTGTTGTTGTTAGCTGTCATCAGGTCAGCCCCCAACTCATGGTAACCCCCTGCACAAGGCATTCGGACCCTTGTGATCTATAGGGTTTTCATTGGCTGGTTTTTGAGAAGCAGATTGCCAGGCCTTTCTTTCTAGTCTGTCTTAGTCTGGAAGCTACACTGAAACCTGTTCAGCATTATAGCAATACCCAAGGCTCCACTGACAGATGAGTGGTGGCTGTGCATAAGGTGCATTGGCTGAGAATCAAACTCGGTTCTCCCACATGGAAGACCAGAATTCTGCCACTGAACTACCATTGCCCCCAGTTGAACAATAGTTTATTATATATTTGAATGTGTATTATATTCAAGATGTTGAGGCACTAAGATGAAGAATTCATGGTCCTTGCTTTTATCTTTGTATTAGTAATCCAGCCCATTTGAGTTATAATTGTTCTGCTATTTCAATTGTTTACAGAAAAATAAAAGAAAGTAAAATCGTATTAAAATACCAAAGTATCCAAGTAATCTTTGCTTCAGTCACATAGCTTTTTCATCAAGGATGCTGTAGAATGTTCGAATCCCACAACGCTGTGGAAGTTAAAGTGTAGAGTTGGGAATTGTAACTTAGTAGAAAGAGCACTATCTTTAATATCACGTAGTGTCTGATTTAGATTGTGACAGTGCTGCTTTTTAGGTTTTAGCCTTGGGCAAGTCATTAAACTTCTCTATGCATCAATTTATTTATAAAAATAAGAGGGTAACCCTACTTAGCTGATTTGATAGAACGATTAGATAACCAGCACAGAGCCAAATTGTTCAATATTGATACCCAGGTAAGGCAGCAGGAAAAAGTGCTCAAAAATCACTGAAGATGTGGTGTGCCTTTTGGTGTGTGTATGTATGTGTGTGTAGAGCATGCTGCCTGCCCACTGTCCACATACGGGATACTCTGAGTTGTTGGGCTTCCTTCATTTCACTTCAGGTGCTAAGGCTAAATCTCACTGAGTGCTGCCAAGTGTGGGAAGCTATGTACTGAGAGGTAAAAGGGATTTATATTTTGTACAGTCTTTAAAAAGTATTATTTTAAATTTATGGGCCCTCTAAATTTGAGTGACCTGGGGGAAATCCCTAGTTACCCTGCCCTGGAACCTGGCATAGAGTAGGCAGCAGACTTTGGTTTCCTTCCCCTTACCTTCATATCTCTTTTCTTAGGGTTTTAAATAATTTTTGAATTTTTTGGGTCAGTTTCTATGTGTCTAAAGAATAATTTTCTAAAATACTTGAAAATGAGCTTTTGTATTTTTCTAATTGCGAGTAGGAGTGGCAAAAGAGGACTGAAGATCCTTAATTGTTTTTTTTTTTTCTTCTTCCCTTCTTTACACTCCCCTGCTGGAGAGAGAGTGAGACAGCAAGAGTGAAAAAGCAGGAGAGAGAGAAGAAAGAGGTGGGGAAGAAGAAGGGTGGGGAGAGAGACAAAGAAAACATGCGTGTGGGCATGTATGTGTGTTTGTGTGTACGTCTCGAGGGTAGGTGACAATAAGGAAAAGAATAGAATGATTCTCTGAACATCATTCAATATTGTTATGTTTGACCACACATCCGTTCTTCTTCCTACCTATCCTAGACGTTAGGGAGTCTAGATTTTGAGAACCAGCTTTGATGATAACTTGCTCTGTGACCTCAAGTCCTTTGCTTAGCGTCTGTAGGCTTCAGTTTCTTCATCTGTCAAATCATAGGATTGCTTAGATGATCTAGAAGACCTCTTTCATCTCTGACGTTCTTTAAATAACTAAACCCTGAGATTGACCAACGTACTTTATGGTTTAAATATTTTTGTTTTCTATCTTTCTCTTTAAATAAAATCATGAAACATATAAAAACTACAAAAATATAGAAACAATAGAAGAGACTGTTGTGTATCCCCCATAAAAAAAATAATATCATTTTGCCACGTGCTCCAGGTCTTTTTTTCCCTAAAGATATAAAACGTGAAAGACATTGCTAAAGTCTCATTCTCATGTCTTTCTCTTTGCTCTGCATGTTTCTTTTTACCACGTGCTTTTTATCCATCAGTATTGTGTTAAAGATTTATCCATCTAATACTTAATTCAGTTTAACTGCTGCGTAGTATTCTTTTGAATGATAAACTATGGCTTATCCATTACCTTACTGAGGCATAGTTTCTTTTTTTTTTAATTGTAAAAATATATGTAATAGCATTTGCCAATTTAACATTATTCACATGTACAATTGAGTGACATTAGTTAACATTAATCATGTTGTCTAAGGCACAGTTTTGTTTTGTTTTTTAATATACTATAACAAACAGTGCTTCAGTAAACATTATTGTACATGTTTCCTTGTTTACTTGTGTGAGAGTTTCTTCAGGATAGACACCTAAGAGTGGAATTGCTAGGTTGATGCGATGCAGCTTTACTTCTTCAGTTTTCCCAGTATTGCCAAAGTGATGTCCAAAGTGCCCAAGTAATCTTTGGGTACCAATTTACATTCCTGCCAGCAGCCACTGAGTTTAATTTTTCCACATTGTCATCACCACTTATTTTTATCAGACTTACTAATTTTGACCAATCATATGGGTGTGAAATAGCATCTCAGTATTTTAATTTGCATTTATTTGATCACTGTCAACTTTCACTGACTTATACTGCAGGAACAAACAACCCTCAGATGTCCTTGACTTGTAGTAACAATGGTTTGTTTCTTGCCCACGTTGTATGTCCTTTAGGCATTGGCTGTGGATCTGCTCCATATCTTCTTTATTTTTAGATGAAGGCTGAAGGGGTGGCCTCTATTTGCGACATGTTGGTTTCCTGATAGAGGGGAAAAGAAAGATGGCACAACTATACTATGACTCTTGAATCTTTTGCTTGGAAGTGGTATATAACATTTTCACTTTCATTTGATTGGCCAAGCAAGTCTCATGGTCAAGGCTGATGACAACTTATTACAAACATAGTAATAACAGCAAGTGGGCTGTTATTACTATATTTTTGCTTTGTTTGCTTAAATTGTCATTATTTGCTTTTCTCCCCTTTACTGTTATTTTTTTAGGAATTATCCTTAAGCGTTTTACCGATACACTTGGCTTAATAAAGTCTAATATTAATCTCTGTGCCTACACCCTTCTTTTCTCATCTTGTTAGCACACATTAGAGTCCGATCTCATTTAGAAATGTTACCAAATAAAGCAATTGCTTATCAGTGTAACTAATCACTCTTCTATATTCTACTCCTCATAGGGAACCAACTTAACTGCATTGTCTGAAGTTAGAAGTTGTAGCCTATTTCTTTAATTCACCAAGAATTAAATTGGCTGAGAAAGCATGTTGTTGTTGTTAGTTGCTATTGAGTCATTCTGGGAAAGCATATTTTTATGAACTCCTTTCAGTATATTAATTTATAACCAGATTGTCTTTTCAGTTAATAAATAATTATTTACTATAGCATTATAAGAATGAACTTTTGAGGACAGTAGATATGAAATCAGCTTGTTGAATAAACTCATTTTTCTCCTTCAAGTACAAAGCAAAAGGGAATTTAAGTAGACTTTAGTGACGTTACCCTATAGCAGATTTTATTTACCAGCAGTTCATTTGCATTCTAAGCAGTCACTTTATATCTGACCATTGGCCGTACTTCAGCAATATCATCATAGCTATTAAACAGTGTGGAAGTTATAAGTTGCATTCCCTATTAATTAATTTCCGTTTTATCCAAGT